TCAGCTCCCAGGACAACCTACGAATGTCAACTGCCACTCGTTTTGGTTTTCCTTAACAAGTCACACTGTAATTTGCGGCAGCCGAAGCAGCGTGGGGAAGCAGCTACTGACAATGGAAGCAAGTGAAAAGATGACAGAAAAGACACCAGCCAGGCAGGTGGATCCGACTGTGGAAGCAACCTGGCCCAAATCTTCGGTTTTGGTCAGGTCAGATCCATTCTCTGACCCAGCCCATCTTCACTAGTGGGAAGTGTTCTAAGGACACCTCGAGCCACCTCTACAGGAATGAGGATGGACAAAAGACGGACTGTTGAATTAAGAAAAACCTGTGATTTCGGGCTATATCCTATGGCTAGTCAGGTCCCAGACACACATATTGCAGTGTATAAATGCAAACTAAGAGGCAGCTTAGACCAAAGTGAAAAATCCCATGACGGTTATTTAAAAGCAAAACCAAAGGATACAAAACTGGCTAAGGCCAATTAAACCTTAAAAGCAGGTAAAACCAAAAAAGGATGAAAAAATACACCCCAAATTACCCTTGAGTAAAATTCCTCTCCTCAAGCCTCACATTAAAATTGCAGCCTGCCCTGAAGCTCAGCGCATTCAGATGAAGAAAAAAAAAAAAAAAAAGAGCCTGTAAGCCAGAGGCTCTTCTAGGATATTTAAGGTGCTTCAGCTCAAGAGCATCTTCTCCCCAAAACCCGCTGGCTCATTCCCTAGGTGACGCGTGTTCCTCCCTGGCCTCCCAGAGACTGCCGGGCAAAAGTACTTCCAACTTCACACATTAATTTGCCACAGGATAACGGCTTCCCTGCGGCTCTGCTCAGCAACAAGTCAATCCTCATCGGTGACTGCGGCATCCAAAGGTCTAAAACCACGCGGTCTCAGCAGAGCCACGGTGCCACAAAGCAAGGCCAGCAGGATGGAGATGCAGCCCGCAGGACAAACTGAGTGCAGGCGGTGTTCTCGCAAAGCCCTTCTCTCCCAGCTCGACTTTCCTAACGCAACATACGAACGGATTTTTATTGCCCTGTCACACCTCACCCCGATCGTGGGGTGCCTCTGCAGTCCCGCCAGTATCGTACAGCTGATCTTCCTGGCGAACTTTTCAGAACCTATGGAGTCTCTGCAGTCATCAAGCACCTACTGAAGGGATGGTTTTTGTCCCCCCACGTGTTATGAAGCATCTCCCTGGTCCCTCACAGGAGGGTGCATCGAGCAAGTGAATGGCAGAAGCAACTCCTGCCTCCATTTAACCTCCTCCTCACTTCCAGCAGGTTCCCACCTGAGATCTGCCATCCTGGCAGTTCCGGATCCCCCCTGGATTGCAATGGGTCAATAAACATGTAACGGCACTGAGGTTATGAAAGAAAATGAAAACATCAATTCCTAATGAGCTAAAAAAAGCCAAGCAAAAAAAAAACCCTGGTGAGCAAAAAATCACAATCACTGCTAAGTGCTAAGCAGCAATCACAAACCAACACTCCTTACAAACCCCACCAAACAGCACTGGAGCTAAAAGGAGCCCTGGGACAAACTCTTGGGTTAGTTCATTCAGTTCTTCAAGGATGCTCAAGTGCCTACTCCCTTAACTTTTAACCAGACTTTCAAGGCAAAAAAGAAAGGGGAGGAGGGAGAAGAGATTAACATCTAATAATAATTTTGCCCCAATTCTGTCCCGTGCTACCTCAAAGAAACCAAGAGGAACAGAGCTACACCAAGGAGAAGATGCCAACGGGTGCAAGCTGGAGCACAGGAGGTTCCACAAAAACAGGAGGAGAAACTTGTTGGCTGTGCGGGTGCCGGAGCCCTGGCCCAGGCTGCCCAGAGAGGGTGTGGAGTCTCCTTGGGACCTACTCCCTTCATCATCCTCGTAGCTCTCCGTTGGACGAGTCCAACGGAGAGCTACGAGGATGATGAAGGGACTTGAACATCTCTGCTCAGTGGTGCCCAGCAACAGAACAAGCAATAATGGGTGTAAGTTAGAACATGGGAAGTTCCACCTCAACGTGAGGAGAAACTTGTTGGCTGTGCGGGTGCCGGAGCCCTGGCCCAGGCTGCCCAGAGAGGGTGCGGAGTCTCCTGCTCTGGAGACTTTCCAACCTGCCTGGACGCGTTCCTGTGGGGCTGCCCTGGGTGACCCTGCTCTGGCAGGGGGTGGCACCGGGTGAGCTCTTGAGGTCCCTTCCAGTCCCAACATTCTGTGATTCTGAACATGCAGCAACGGACAGGGGATCACCCAGAAGCATCACCCAACTCAACAGAGCCTCTAAACCTGCGTTACTGCTCTATTAGCAGGAGCAGGAGCTGCAAAGCTCCGAAGGCAATCAAAGGAGGCCAGCTCAGCACCAGTCAGCAAGCCGCTGGGTCTTGGCACAGACTTAATTACCACGCTGGATCAGGCCTTCAACAGCGCTTCAGCCCTACCAGAAGAACAGAACTGAAAACCACCTTGCGAAAATAAACACATTTAAAGTCGGTAAACTGCACCGCAGCGGTCTTTTTTTCTTTTCCCTTGCCTAACTCATTTTAAAATTCCAGGTGCGGGAGCAAAAAAACAGGATGAAGTCCATATTTCCCCTTGGTTTGCAAGCTGCAGGTCATTTCTGGCTTCCTGGCGCTTCGCCTCCCGTCCTCGTTTTCGCAAAGATTAGGAATCGCGGCCGTGCCCTCAACAAGCAGCCGTCCGAGCTGGGAGGTATCACGGACGTAGCACAAAGCAGCCAACGCTGCCCAAACCCTTCTTCCACCTCCCGAAAAGCAGCCCGGCTGCCAGACCTTACACAACCTGCTTACACAAAAGGGGCCACTCGTCCAGCTGATGGAAATCAGCCCAAACTTCTCCAATTTCAACAATGCTCTCGAACTCCGACAAGCCCAGGGCACGGAACAGGAGTTTACAGGAAATTGCTGTGAAGTTTAGATTCCCGCTCGCTGGAAACTTTCTTCCCCCATGCCATCTTTAAAAACTG